AAATTCTTTGTGATGAAATAAAATGTGCTAAATAATGCATTCTGATGCCAGATGTAGCATCTAACAAAATAAATAATAATACAAAAATTCACCCAGGAGGAATACAAAAAAAGGGTCACTTTTAGACTTGCTTTGTCATTTTTGTAGTTGTTTTTTTTCACTCTCGATACATCCCAAAAAAATAAAAAGTGCAGAAATTTGACTGCCAAAAATAGAAAGAATGAACAAGCAATCATACAGTTTGATTTGTGTCTCTCTGTGCATCAATAAAAACCTGATTATGTAATAAACAGATTTACCTCAAGAAGAAGAATCAACAGCAGGGTTCTGTAAATCTTCTGTCAGTGTAACATGAGAGATGAGTCCCTCTCTGGATGTTCTAAAGTGATCAGTCACATTTCTGTTAGTCATTCAGCAGGAAACAGACACACAGTGCTAAATAACTGAAACGTTCCTCATAGTTCACAATGATACTGCGCCCCCCTGTGGGACACACGGGTATAACAAGTGAAGCATAGTCGCTCTGTTATCGACTGGTCATGTCTGAATGTGTAACATTTATATGAATAGAGAAATGTTAAAGGGACTGTACATTAAGAGCTTTCATCCTCACACACACACACACACACACACACACACACACACACACACACACACACAGCTGTTATGTGTAACATGAATGAAACTGCACGCTGTGCGGCTGCTATTCAAAACATGCGATGCACATGCACTACTCGGGCGTGCAGTGTGACTAAAGCTTGATGACATTGATAAGATCCTGGGACACATTCCAAACTGCTCCTAAATGTCATCAGTTAGAGTTTTGATTTCTTACCGTGTATCACTCAGAACTTTCCTGACTCTTTTTTTTGAAACCATAGAGGAAGAATCAACTGAGGGAAGCTTACTGCAACAACCTGTGGGACGGGGCCAGGAAGACTCTGGCTACTCTGTGGGACGGACATGGAGCCATCTGGCATGGTAAGACACTGGGCTTTATTTGACATGCTGTGTGTTCAGAAGGTGATATCACCTGAACAGAACAAAAAGGAAAAACTGCACACCGTCATGTCATTGTTGATGTTGAGCTGCAGGCTTGTGAAGAAGGGAAATTAAAAAAAAGTGTCACATTGATTTGAAAAGTTCTGAGGGTATGTGATTAAGGAGCTCAAAGTCCATTTCATAAAAAGAGAAAGATGCCCCATCAGTACCACCATCATCCTTTGGTTCATTAACTTCAGTTTTAAGGGACCTGGGGGCTAATTTTTTTTCTAAAGGGTCCATAGAAGTCAAATCAATCATCAAAATATCTGAGCCAGAGAATGGTCACAGAATTGAGGTTTTGGACCCAACTATATGTTATTCAAAGCTTGATGGTGAAACACAACTCCACTAAAGTCAGTATTGTGGGCGGCTTTAATTGGGGAACGCCGCACAGAGACTGAGTGTCCTGTACCTGTGACTCGTTCTTATCAAAATAAAATCAAAGTCCAGATAAGTTTGTTGATTTATTAAAACAAAAGAGTGAACATAATTCTAATCAAAAGGTTAAAAGAGGATGATAATTGATGACAATGAGGAAAACCCCACTCAAACCCCTCTTTGTCTGCCTCGCGCCACACACAGGTTAAAAACAAAGTCAAGCCACGCCCACTGCTAATTACTGGAAATGATATCAAACCCAAATAAGAAGCAAAACATAACAAATAATCAACAGAGGTAAAAATACACATTATGGCTCCTATAGTTAGGGTTCATCTCGTCTCCTCAGGCTTCTTCTGTACTGAAGCTGAACATGTTTTAAAAATCTCCACATTGGTTAGTGTTTAACAATGAATGAACATTGGAATGTGTATGTGTTTGATGTCAGTCGTCTTGAAGACATTTCACCTGTCCTACCAGAGACATCTTCAGTTTTATACTAACTAACTGAAAGGTGGACAGAGCTACACATGTAAGCCTCTTTGGATAGTCACATGAGTAGTTGACCTAGTTTGACCTAAAGTGGTTAACAGCCCCGCTCGCCTGTGGCTCGTTGGGGTCACATGTTTCAAAGTGGGACTACAGAAAACCCCCACAGAGGAGTTTCTTTTAAACGTGTGTCACTTGTTGTCCCAGGCTATGAGATTCATGGGATGGAGAAGATCCCAGACAAAGGACCAGCACTGATCGTGTACTATCATGGAGCCATTCCAATAGACTACTACTACTTCCTGGCTAGTGTCATCATCCAGAAGGGCCGGACCTGCCACTCTGTAGCGGACCACTTCCTCTTCAAGATCCCAGGTCTCACACACACACACACACACACATGCATACTCATACAATCCCATCAGATACAACTGGCCTCATTATATTTTCTGTTTACCTTTTTTTGTTTTCTGTGTGTGTGTTTTTTGTTTCCTTTTTAAATGACAGCTTTATCACTAACCTCTCTTAACCTCCTCACGCTGTCTCCCGCTCTCTCTCTCTACCTCTGCTGCAGGTTTTAAGTTGCTGTGCGAGGTGTTCAGTGTGATTCACGGTCCTCAGGAGGAATGTGTGCGAGCACTGAAGAACGGTCACCTGTTGGGGATTTCTCCCGGTGGCGTGCGGGAGGCTCTGTTCAGCGATGAGACCTACCCTCTTCTCTGGGGCAAACGCAGAGGCTTCGCGCAGGTCGCCATCGACTCTCAAGTGGTGCGTTTTGTTGCTTTAATCTATATGTGCTTTAGTTAATGTTTCAGTCTGGAGTCCATGAAAGATCATATTCACCTTATAAATTAGATTTGATTTCACATGAGTTTGCAGTGTTTCCAAATGTGTTTGGAATTATTGCAGCCGCCAATTCTGACTGAACTCCTTGAATAAATACCTCCATCCATCTAAAGGAATGTCCTGCTGCACTGTCTGCGTGCAGAGTCTCTCTAACCCTTTGTTTCTTTTTTCAGCCAGTTATTCCGATGTTCACTCAGAATCTGCGGGAAGGCTTCAGATCTCTGGGAAATTTAAGTAAGTTTAGAAGCCGGTACACATCCCGACACAGGAGACAGAGCTCTAGAGAAAGAGATCAGAGATGTTTTTGTGTTGTTTGGGAGTGTAGTGACACATGAGGTATGTCCTCCATAGTCCAAAGAGAAGCTCTGTTCCTGAGTGTTTCTACAAAGATAGATGTGATGTTGAGTCAAAATGAATGTAGGACAAGTGTCTCCTTTTCTTCACAATTATTGGGCTTTGGGAGAGAAAATAAGAAATCAGGCTTTTTGGATACACATAAATGATGTTTATTACTCAAAAACAGTCAGAACATCAAACTTAAAGGCAAGGCAAGTTTATTTCTATAGCACATTTCAACAACAAGGCAATTCAAAGTGCTTCACACAAGACATCAAAATCATCATAACAGAGGAAAGAAAAGAAACATTGAAATAGAACATTTAAAAATCACTGAAATTATTAAATCTGAACATATGTTCAAATAAAAATAATTACAATGAAATTAATTGAAGTAAAAATATAAAAAGAGTTAAACTTTTAAATCTTATTAAAGCTGTTTATTATTGAAAGGCAGCTGTAAACAGGTGAGTCTTCAACATGGATTTAAGAGAGCTGAGAGTTTCAGCAGACCTGCAGTTTTCTGGGAGATAAAGAAAGCTTTCTGAGCAGAGTGTTGTGACCACAGTAGTGGAAGTAGACATTGTGTTTTTGTGTAGCCATGGTCAACTATTAGTTTGAGAAGCCGCGACTGAACCGTGCTTGTTGTGTGAGTAGAAGTAACCCCATGTGGACAAAGTGTGACATCTCTTTCCTGGTTTACAGGAAGCTTCAGTTTACTCTGATGTATCATCCATTTACTCCAAACAGACAAACATCATGAGTTAGACCATCATCTCACAAGGAAAATTTTCATTGTTTCTCATCTGCGTCTATGCAGTAAAAAAACTTCTTTTTGGGGAGTTCGCCCCCTGCTGGTCAGGTTTAGTACACGTCTGTATCGACTTCTCTTTTATAACAGAGTCCACTAAAACAGTCTTTGGTGCTGAGCTGACACAAGGGGTGTTGATCTGTTGGTTAAATGTCTCCTTTGTCTTCACCTTCATCTGAATCCTTTCTTGTATATATAAATATGATATTCATGGAACATGCCGTGTCTCTCTGTTTTTTTCCATCCAGGATTTTATCGCTGGGTGTATGAGAGGTTTCGTTTCCCTGCAGCGCCGGTTTATGGAGGATTTCCTGTGAAGTTTCGAACCTTCCTCGGTGATCCGATCCCCTACGACCCCAATGTAAATGCTGCAGAGCTAGCAGAGAAAGTGAGTGAGATACTGCTCAGAGGTGTCAGTCAGATGTCTGAGCGGGGAAAGAAGTCCAACGTGTTTCAGTTACCAATTTGTAAAAAGTCAGAAAATCAACATGGACACCTTCAGGAGAAGCTTTGTTGTGTTAGCTAACAGCAGGAGACAACAACACACGACGTGAACGCAACATGTCAACAGAACATGATACTATCGATGTGATTGATTTAATTACACAAACACAAACACAACGTTTATAAACATCTTGTACAGCTTAAACTTCACTGTTGATGCACGGAGCAGCCATCTTGGATTTAGAGTTTTCGGGGGCGTTCCTGACGACATGTCCGACTGGCATCTCTGAACTTTCGGCTTCCTAGATCAAATAAAAGGCACCACATCGTCTTGTGCTGGTTTGGGCTTTTAAATCATTGATCTTTAACTGATCACTTTATATCACAGTGTTCAGTTTTACAACTGGCAAAATACAACTCAAATAATATGAATCATAATAATAATAATCTGTGCTGTGCATCACCAACGATGATCAATTTGACCTTTTATCATCTGATCACGTCTGGCTGAACCCCAATCAGATCTGAAATGAATCAGGAGAATCAAGATGATTTAATATGAAGTTATGAGAACTAGCTTGTCTTCTATGTTCAGAGCCGCTCAGGACTCCTTCAGCTGGACTTTAAAACCCCTCAGATAACCTTTTATTCCAGCTTATGTCTCCATGATTTAAGTAAAGAAGCAAGCAAGTAGAAGCTGCAGTTTAGCCTGCAGCACATGACGCCTGTCTTAAGGTACCTGAAGGTTTTTCAAAGTAAAATCACCTTATTAACCAGACTTCTAGCAGGTTGAATAACCGCGTTGGTCTGGAGTGAAGGTGAACACTAAAGGCTGATGGCCTGATGTGCTTTTTCTCCTGCATTCTTCTGTGTGTGTTTTTAACACGGAGCTTAAAAAGTTTAGATGTTGAACTAAAAATAAAACAAAAGCTTTTCTGGTGATAATGTGATGGGAAATGAAGAGTGAGCAGGTTGTTATCAGGGACTGAACCCCGACAGGGACCAGACCTGCTCACTTATTACACGGCTTCCTCTCTTAGGACATCACCAACTTTAAACAGAATATTGACTTTGGTTGACTTTTTTATTGATTTAATTATTGGTTAGAGCTGTGCTCATGGCAGCGGTTAAGAGCTGAACCTGCAGCTCAAATCAAAGTGAACATGACCACGGATGATGAGGTGACACACGTGAACAGATGTACATGAATCATTATACCAGATGTTAAAACAGATGTGTTCTGTACGCGCTGCTACGACCACCTACCACTGATCTGACTCTGTTTGTTGTCTTTGTCTGTGCAGGTGCAGCAGGCGGTCCAGTCTCTGATAGACCAGCACCAGCAGATCCCAGGGAACATCCTGAGAGCCTTACTGGAGAGATTTCACTCCAAAGTCAAAGACCATTAACATCAGCAGCACAAACTGTCCAGAGTGACCAAAACAACGTTCAGGTCAGACGGCCTCAGCGGGCACAGCTTCTGTCGCCTGACATGTTTGAATATTTGCACAACCCCCTCCCCCCCAGAGTGCAGACGCTGAGGGTCTCCTGCATGCACATTTGTTGTACTGCCTGTTGCTGAAATGTATTTTTGAACCATTTGTTTTGAATCTGCTCATTCCCAGAACTGATCTGTGTAAGAGTTCCTGGAGGTGTGTTATTGGACGAGACAATAATCACACTTAAAAAAAAAAATAACACATGAACAATATCTTATTCCAGTTGTTCCTAAATCTTTGTCACCATTAATTACAGCGTGTTGATTTGCAGATGGACCTCAGTTAGACTTCTGGTTAAATGACACTGGTGTGTCATGGATGTTTGAGGATCATTTAATACTCTGATGATGTATCAGGAGGCGTGACAGAGAGAGAGTGAGATAAGATGTCTGCTGATCTCTAAACCTCTCTAAACATTTAACAAACTCCAGTATGGCAGATGAATCAAAGTGTTTCAATAACAAGCTGATCAACTAAACAGTATCCAGTTATGTGTCCTGTGTTTCCCAGATTAAAGAACAAAACATCATCTACAATTCCTACATGTAGCTGCTTTAAAGCTTCCTCAACTGTAAATAAGTGTTTTATCATCTTTAAAGACAGACCCAGAGTCATGTTAGAACCTGAAACCTGTAGGCATGTCACTAAAGGGAACACGATTCAGACTCAGAGTCATACCCCATCCATTTAAATGTAATAAGTACATAAAGACACACACACACACACACACACACAGAGGCTGGACTTTAACAGTTTGTATTCAGACAGTCACAAACATGCAGGTTGTCCTCGTCATGTTGAAAGGATCTGTTTGTTTTATGAAGTGTAACACAGAGTAGTAAAGCCGTGATCCATGATTCAGCCCCACATGTGCAACACTTTAAAACCTTTGTGGTGTTAAACACAGTTCTACCAGCACTGTGGCTAACAAAGTCATCCTTTTCTAAATGTCAGAGTGGAGAGTGACAGGATGGAGAGGCTTTGTGTTACCTTTAAGTGCAATGATGAGGGGACATATTGTTCATGTTCCCTCCTGTGTGTCAGATGTTCAGTGTTGAGATCCTCTCTACATGATGTGGTTCTTCATCACAGCGTCAGCTTGCACTTTATAAAGTAAACAGCTCGTGGTTGTTTCTGATAGCTCAGTGCCACCTTTACTCTCATTTAACAAACAAAGAGGTTTCTCGCTGCTTGTCCAGAACCTCAGAACGTCAGGGCCAGGACCATAAGGACAGCTCCCAGAAGGATTAATTCTTTCAGATGGGTCACTGACTCCGGTGCTGAAAAAGATGCAGCTGTTTATATCACAGAGTTTTTTAAATCACAAAAAAAGGGAGTTTGTTTTTATCTGGCTGCTTTTTTCACTGACAGAAAAACAAGCTGTGGAACATAAATGTAGAAAACTGAAGATGCAATACGATGAGATACACAGAGAAAAAGCTTTTTAACCTGTTGAGCCCTTCTTTATAAAACTCTAAATCTTATTGTGATGTGAGTAATAATGTGATCATGATTTCAAAGATATCTGTTGATAATTGTAAACAACTTGATGTTTATATAAATGATTCCTTCATAATAAGAAGGGGGCTCAAAGCTGCTAACGTTTGACTGTCCTTTCAAACTGTCACCATGGTTACCTGAGGGATTCTTTTT